AGTGAATATAAAGTGAAATTGTTATAAAGTATCTAAAAATAATCAATAATAACTCGCCTTGACTAAATCCTGCCAAAACCAAACACAGCAATACTGTAAGACAAAAAAACACAGTGGATTTAATATGGTTGGCAACCAATTAAAATTCATAAACATTTTAAATYAAAAACTAAAAATTAAACTCAGTGATGTCAAGTGATGTCGCCTGTGTAATACATTAATAACGACAGTTTCAGTTACTAGTATTATGTCGCAAATATAGTTATCTGTAAGTAAACCACTCATCTACAAACAAATGAAATATCTTTGAAATAGCTGACAATAAATCGAAATATTRTATTCAGTGTGATTGCAGATTGAACCTTCGGTAAACACCTCGATGATACGAATACTTCTCGTATCGGTGGAGGTGCCATGGGTCAAGTCAAGTCAAAGTTCTAAATAGATCTATCTACAATAATAGCAGTCAAATGTAGTGAATATTTGGGAATGGTTTGGTAAATATCAACCAGTGTTCAACTAARTCTACCGCCATTGCCCATGCGATGTTGTGTGCACGCATATTATTTCAATTACAAATTAAACGAATAGCRCTTTTATAATAAAGGTTTAAAGGCTTTAATACTCACCTATGATCATGTTATTTGAAAGACAATCGATTGATTTCTCTGAAGAACAATACATCGTGCTGGAACGTGTCCCAAAGCGGCTGCAATATAATCGTGGTCGTACGACAACACTTTATTTGGGAAGCGAAGGTTTGCCAACAAACTTTTGTGCATAGGGAGGGGAGGGAGAGGATTAAAGGCTATGTTTGTCATCCGATTTTCCCTTTTTCATCCCGAAACAAGTACATTTTGTTGTATCTTTTAATAACTGAAATCGAAGGATAGATATGTATTTTGTGTTGCTATGTAACGAGTAGAATGGAAACACTCGAAGATGCGTTATACGGTTGTTTAGTCGACCGTTGATCAATGAGCTTGTCAAATTTATAATACGCTGTAAGTTCTATTAATAGGGATTAAAAATAAAAGGGTAGAATGTTGAGAATCATAATGGCTTTGCAGCTTCCACAAAAAGGCGAATGATTGCACAAAATATTATGTTAAAAACAGAATTGACAGATTGTTGGTACCTGCAGAAAAACCACAGGACTTCTCGTTTTATTCGATTTTTGTCTAAAAATAAAAAAGTCAATAACAAGTCATGTAAGGACTACAACTCAAATCATGGAAAACATGTCGTCAAGCGCATTTGCGCTACACATTACCTTCACATATCTTATACTAGAATGCAATCATGCCGTCGAGTCTTGAAAATTGTTCTTACAGGTATATTGATTGCACACAACCATGTTTTGGTAGAGTTCATTATTCAATAATCCGGATCCAAATTAAAGTTTTCTATTGCCTCACTATAGANTGATGAAATGGACAACCCTTATTGGAGTAATAGCTCATGCATTATTAATAAGTTTTATAAGGTTGTTTAGTCGACCGTTGATCAATGAGCTTGTCAAATTTATAATACTCTGTAAGTTCTATTAATAGGGATTAAAAATAAAAGGGTAGAATGTTGAGAATCATAATGGCTTTGCAGCTTCCACAAAAAGGCGAATGATTGCACAAAATATTATGTTAAAAACAGAATTGACAGATTGTTGGTACCTGCAGAAAAACCACAGGACTTCTCGTTTTATTCGATTTTTGTCTAAAAATAAAAAAGTCAATAACAAGTCATGTAAGGACTACAACTCAAATCATGGAAAACATGTCGTCAAGCGCATTTGCGCTACACATTACCTTCACATATCTTATACTAGAATGCAATCATGCCGTCGAGTCTTGAAAATTGTTCTTACAGRTATATTGATTGCACACAACCATGTTTTGGTAGAGTTCATTATTCAATAATCCGGATCCAAATTAAAGTTTTCTATTGCCTCACTATAGAWCAGAAGGGGTGGTTCTTTCTCGTAGTCTCACGACAAGGCGAGGTGTCAGGACTCGTTCGAAGTTTATTAATTAACAGGTTAATAAGTGTATATTAAAATAGGGTCATTTGGATCGGAGAGAGAGAGAGGGTTAGTAAATTTCACTTCATCCACAACTCTAGTATGTCATCACCTTATYCYCMGTACCCAGTTTTCAATTTYCACCTCCCCTTCTCACTGCTAATTTCTGACAAGACCCTTATTTCGGTCTTTRTTCCATKTCTCTTGTGCTATTAAGACTTTTCACACAAAAAAATCGACTGCCTGACGTTTAGTTCTGGGACTAAACGTCAGGCAGTCGAAAAATCCTCAAGAGTGCCGTGCTTGTGACCGGGGCTTGTGACTATACAAAGTTGTCCAATAGTATTATTGTTGTATTAATTGAAATTACGGTTTAACCGACGATTTTTCAAAAAATACATCGACTGCCTTACATTTAGTTCTGGGACTAAACGTCAGGCACTCGAAAAATCTCAAAATGCCGTGCTTCCTGCTTTTGAAACTTGTCGAACAGTATTATTTCGGTCTTTAGTGCATTTCGCTTGTTGTATTAATTGAAATTACGGTTATTCCGACGAATTTTCACACACAAAAAAATGCTGCCTGATGTTTAGTTCTGGGACTAAACGTCAGGCAGTCACCCGGGCAGTCAAAAAATCTCAAAGTGCCTTGCTTGTGACTGTACAAACTTGTCGAACAGTATTATTTCGGTCTTTATTATCAATCGAAAAACGCCGCTTTCAAGACTCTTTCTCTCGTTAAAATTGCATGCTAAGTCATAGATTACAGCAGTTTAAAACTTTTTTGTGACATATCTGTAGTGCTACTTATGTATTTTGAGTTGTTATATAAGTGGATCGAAACGTCCTAACAATGGATCGAAACGTCCTAAAAATGGATCGAAACAACTTGGATCGAAACGTCTTTGGATCGAAACGACCGGATACCGGTGACAACGTCACTTCGTGTATGCGAACCACAAACTTCTGACTTGGTAAAAAAAATAAGCGGGTTGCATTTTATATCTCGTGCCCTTGGACCAAAACCTGGTCATGAGAAATGAAGATTCCGAGCCATACGGTAACTTAAAAGTTTTGTAAAGATTATTTTTAGTGAGTTATATCTACACGTGTCTGATTTTTAGAGATGAAATGCTTTAAAACCTGTTCCCGTTTCGAGCTAAATTTCYCATGCTGTTTTCAAAACTAAAAGCGTAGGAGTACCTGATGAGATTCTATTCTCCAGTACTAGCCTGTTATTTTGAAGGCACAGGAAACCCGGTACAATAACAGGCTGTGTAGGAGGTTTATACATGCGGGTACAGTGGACGGAAATATTTTTGTGGCGTCTGTTCAAAATTTTGTGGGCAGCATCTTCCAGTTCATGCTTCTTTTACTTTATAACCCTGACGATGCACAACAAGTTGCCGGAAAATCATTACATAATCACACGGAAGTGTTGTTGAAAATTGCAGGGACGCATGCGCGTTATGTATGTACATTTATGGTGGAGAATAGTAATAGCTTTGCAAGATGCTTCACTGTTTTGTGAAAATTAGTAGGCGCACGTTCTGCAATTCTGAGTGCATGTGCAACGATACTCGCAATAACCAGTTGCAAGTTGCTGGTAACATTGGGACTGTAGCAGCACATGTGCTGATAAATTGAAWTGTCTGTTGKCGAAATGTCTGTTTGCAGTCAAACATCCTGACTATTCAAAGTCCGCCCGGAAACGCTAAAAACCTTTTATTCGTGAAATTATAGAATATACTCTATCATTATATAATAATGTACTTTGTACGCGATGTATAATAGCTACAATGCCCTATGTTGAATTGCATGTCTGTCACTCAAAATTCATATCTCACTTAGCCTCGTCCCAGGCTACTTGCTTTCTCTTTCATAATGTCATACGGTAAGAGAAGAGATTGCACATTGTAGCCTGGGGACAAGGGTATAGATTCGCCTTGATTTTATCACTCGTTGCTACTAGATGAACCACTTCTTGACGATGAAGAATCTTGCACAAAAATCACTCTTGCTGTAGTTAAAATCGACTCGGATTCACTGGTTTTTCTGTCACTAGTTGAAACTGATTGGGGACTAAGTCTTTCTTGCCTTGGCGTATGTTTACTTTCAACGTCTATAATGGCCATATCATCTTTGTGATTATTCCTGTTGTCATAGTTACTATAGTCATGGCAACGTAATTCTTGCCGATTTCGGTTAGTATAGATTCCATTGATGTTGTTGCCATGGCTATGGTTTTTGTTACCATGGCTGCAGCTACATTCGGAAGCATATTTAAACTGCGTTGATGATATGACGTAATCGTCCATTCCTTTGTTTACGTTACCCAATAAAATCATAGAAGGGATGTGGGCCAGTGCGCATGTTCGATTGCTGCCATGATTTGAATCATGTGATGGAGACACGTGACTGTTCATYTCATCGTCTAAATTCCTGTGTTTTCTTCTGATTAATATTACGATGAGAACAACACAAATTATTGTCCCAACAATGGCTGCCATTGCAAATAAGACAATTCTGACAACTGAAGACTCTGAAAGGAAAATACAGCACCATTAAATTTTAATAAATAATTCGGAAACAACAAAGTTAGCTAAAGAAGGGTTGGAATCACTCAATAACTCCATTTGTATTAAATTTCATTGTTCGCCATTTCAATCATTCATATCTATTGAATAAATTGAACTCATAGTTTATGTGATATTGAAGGACAGTCGTTTGCACTGACAAGACCTTTTTTGCTGGTTTTCACTATCGACGCGCAAACCCATAAGTCCATTGCTCAGATCGAGTACAATGCGCAAGGCGCTTACTGCACCGTGCAGATCGGCACACTTAGCCCAAACAACTAAAATTGCTCAGTCATTTTTTGCGTTTGGGTTTGGGCCAGCTTTGTTCAAATCCAAATGTTTTATCAGCATAAATTATACAGAAAGTTTAAAGGTGAACCTAAAAATTGAGGCTTTCCAAGCATTCTTGTGCTTGCGCTTGTTTTTTTTCTGATTGGCTTTGCGTTTATGCTCAGCATAGGCATTTAGTTTGTGTTGAAGAAGAAAATATGCAATGTGACGACGCCATTTTGTACAACAAACCATAATGGGTGTTGTAGTCCTTGCATTTTTTTTTATGTCCCTTGAAAAATCTCACTAAAAGCTTTTTTTATCTTTATTTTTTATAAAAACGGCACACTTCTGTTTTGCAAAGAAAAACCAAAACCGACTTAAGATGGTTTCTTTAACGCTTGTTTAATGTCCGAGGACTACAACTCCCATCATACTTTGCTGCACAAAATGGCGTCACTGCACGTTGTTTATTAACAAGGCTTTACATTCGAATCAAAGCGCTAATCCAAGAAAGCAAACTATGCATCATTCCTACAGCATGTGTTTATATCCATCAGGAGTAACGATTGCATAGCGCAATAAAATTCATAATAAAAATACCTTTAGTGGTATGATAACGCGCTGCAAATATGGTAGACTTGTAGCCATTTGTAACATACTCAATCCACATTTCATTTCCAGTACTGCGCACATCACTCGGTTTCACTGACCCGCAAAATGTCCCGAGGGACGAATTTCCACCGTCCCGCACCTCCAGGTAGGTCTTACGGAACTCGAATTTAGAACATTCGGTGCTTTGACCAACATCAAACGCTTCAAACTGTAAGGTTATAACATGTCCCGTCTCAACGCTTATTAACCAATGGCAATGAGTGGCCTTAGGGTTGTATTTGGGAAATCTTGGGCTAGCGAGGTGACCATCTGGACCAGTTAGTTTCGCATAATCACAGGCTGGGACAGTGTAAAATTCTGTAAAAAATAAAATATTGTTCAATTTTTTTCAGTTCATATCAACTTGATGTGATAAGAATATACAATACTTAGCTATGTATGTGCCAATCCTTCAAAAAGGCAAAGCAAAAGTTTGTATAAAGTAATGATTGATGATTCATAGGCAACACTATTGATAGAAAGCTCGTTTCTTTGTAATTATTTTGATTTAAAAAGCGTGCAAACTGCTCTAGTTCGTTTGAAAAGGATTTTGATATATGATTTGATGAAAAACAAGCGTAAAAGAGCGATGACATTTAGTTATGTGACACTACTGGGAAATCTCTTTTGACCTTCTTGTGGTTTAGGAGTGCCTAGTTCAACATGTCTGATCTACCGTAATTATTGTTATTGCTTCTTGTTTAAGTTATCTAAACTAATCAACGATAACCTTATATGTACCAAACATGTTGTTGAATAAACTTTTCTTGTTTTATTATTAACAACAAAAAGCTATAAAATAAGGTTTTTATTTCCTGAACGGAAAACCCCAAATGAAGGCAACTATCAATTTCAACGTCATGTAGACGCCATAACTATTCATTCAAAACAACTTTTTTTGCATCCTTTTAAGAAGACAGAGCTTTTATGATTCCGCAGGTTTGTATAAAGACGTTCCTCAAAACAAACTTTATCGTCCAGTTTATTAAACAGTTAAGAATAAATCGAATTTGTAAACCAAGACAAAAGCATTTAATGAAAATCACGTCCGAGCTCTCAGTAGGAAGCCAAGACAACCGGTTATTGAAGCAGTGCGCTCTGCTTGGCATTGACACAGTGAATAACACAGAAAATAGAGAATAAAAACCCCTTCAAAACAGAGCTTGTACTGTAGTAAGTGTCAGGCAAAAGAGATTTACTCGCTAATCCGTCAGAGTCAAATACCATAGAGGGGGTGTCCATTCCCATTGTCAAAAAAGCGAAGATTAAAGACTAAAGATAAGATCCGACATTACGTTACTTACTCAAAGTTAAGATCCCCAATACAAGAACATTAACAAGCCGTGTAGAATCCATCTATCGACGAGTAAACAGACTAGATCGATGCGCTCATCGCAACATCACTCAGACTATTGGCTCTTCCCGTGCGTCAGAGACCTCACCGAGTTTTAGTCGAGAGTTTGGTCTTCCCGTTTGACCCGTAATATGATATTTACATAGACAGTGGATGTAAAAATAGGCCAGTTCGCCTTTGTACACAGATTAGTGTCCTGTAACCCAGACCACCACTGCGAATCCAACAAACTTTGAGTCAAAATTTGAAATTGTAATTAGTGTGATGTGAAAGTCACTAATCTATCCTGTCAGTGAGGAAGACGATTGAGTGTCATACTTTGATCCTCTAAAACCTTTGCTGTGGAAACAAGAAGAAATACCTTAACACAAACTAAATGAGTCCAAGTTGGATCTTGCGACGACGTCTGTCATGACATGCTTTACAGAGTTAATTACTTCAAAAGATAGCCAAGCCTTCCCAGGTTGTTGAATTAGTATATTGTTTTTTCATCGTTTAAATGCTTTGTTTGCTTTTCTCGCCCTAACGTGCGGCATGTTTGCTTTGAATTAATAACTTCAACAAAGGTTTTGTCTGTTTGCATGCTTGTATTGTCCTCAATGAGTTTCGGTAAAACAGTTTGTTGAAATTGTGAAAGGCAGACATTTTTGAAGATTTACTGTCTGATTACAATGATTTTCTTTTGGGATTTTCGGTTATAAACACCCGGAAGTAAAATATAGGTTATCTTCAAAAAGTAAATGAAATAACAAGTGAAATAAACTGAGAGAGAGGGAAACACAGTTAAAGCAAGGAGCAACTGTCGTCCTTCTGAGATCAAATTCTGTAAGATTCTATAAAGAGGTACGTGATAAGCCTATTTTACCTCGAGGCTGGACAACGCGCCAAAATAGAGATGTCACGTGATATAATAATACCGATTAAATATTCACTAGGTAAGCGAACCAGCGCTGTCGATTCTCTCATATGAACTGTCTCTAAGATTGGAGACGTTTGCACTGACCTTGGTATATGTGATATAAGTCGTCGTTTGCACTTTTGAATGGTATAAGTTGCTAAGCAACAAATGACCAATCGTGGCGCCGTACTATACTAAGTACTATAGTACTATTACTTTCCTTTATTTCTATATCATGTTTATCATAGTGCATTGCGGTCCTCATATTCATATCTTTACTAAGGGTGCAGCCCATTATAAAAATGTTGTCACTTTAAACAAAATCTGAGACCGAGACTCCATTGATATTTACTAGTGTTTGATACATCGGCTTCTTGAGTCCCATGGAACCAGCTTCTATTTTATCTAGACAAAAATTAGTTCACGAGGTCGAGAGGACTATGACGAGTTCAAAAAACGTTTCTCGACCTTTTTTGCTTCACGAAGACATTCAGCGACCATCAACTTATAACCCCCAGCTGAATAGCCAATCAGAATGCTTTACACGTGATTGTGAACACTGACTTTGGTGGATAAAAAAATATAATATATACGACAATGTTCCATTATGCTTTGATTTTCAGGACCTGACTAGACGTCTTTTAGTGTCTGTCAAGAGGTTTAATTCTGTTTGTATTTTATTTACTGCAGAACATATGGCACAGGTCACAACCACATCCGACGTAGTACCGACAAACGGACAGACGTTGGACCGGACCACTAAGTGCAAGTCGGAATTAGTAGCTCCTTTAATCGTAGATTATCCCTTCTGCATGTTCCATCCATGTTTAATCCCTTGCTAATTATAGCTCTATAGCCTCAATAGGCATTGTTCATTATGACTCGAATTATCCTTGTGAAGGAGAGGGGAGTGGGTGATCGCTAACAAAATCTTGAAAAAGACCTTTCAAAGGTACCCATGGCTGTTTCTATTTATTTCTATATTTGTACTTTTTGCGTTTTAAAAAAGGTTTCCAACAAAGACCGCTGTCGTGTATTTCCTGTATCGTAATGGGAGTTTATTTACTCGTGTTTGTTTAAGTAATGAACAAGTGCCGGTGTTTAAGCCAATTTATTGGTTCTTTTATCCTGTAATCGTGTTTACTAACAGTCACTTAACAAATGCTTAGATCTCTAATTGTAAGATAGATCACCAATCCGTTAGATTTGGTCCAGAGAATTAGACTAGAACGACGTTCATTAGTTCTAAAGTGAGTTTTATTTACTGTGAAACACACCTTGCGTACAACACTTTTTCACTTCACATTGCACGTTTACCGGGGGGAATCCCTTATAAAAGTTGGTAGGTATGCTCGACGAACGGATTGAAAATGACCCTAAAAGGTATGCATAAATTAATTCAGATTTCGTCCACCATCCCCCCCCCGTCCCCCCTCCCCCCGGGCACGTTTTTCTTTGTGTATTGCACCACTTTGACTATAACACTTGGTTTTAATTAATCCGTAAAGCACACTTTGGCATACAACAATTTATTATACGCTAGTGTGTCAATCACACTTTTGTTCAACTTATTATTTTACACTGTTGAAACTAGCATGTTCCACTGAGGAGAGGTAGTCCCATGGGATGGCGGCCATGTTGGATTTCAGACAAAATGAAATAGCTTCACATGTATAAATAATGAATAGAATTTCTGGTAGGAATCATGTTTTAGTCATGTATGCCCTCATGAAGCACTACTTCCTACTAGCTATAATCACAACTTCCTGACTTCATTCTCCAGAACCACACCTAACACGCAATAGTTTTGGAGTGTTTGCTATCTTCACTCATATCACATTTTTCAGTTTTCATCAATTCATTAATGTGTTTAGAATAGAAAAACACCTCTAGTTTAATTTTTGTAAATATCGATAAAAATGGTTTGTAAAAATAAAGCTCCTCGATCGGTTTCACCTCTACTCGCCGACTAGATTGAAAAGGATCATGGGTAGATATTTTTCAAAGATTGAACATAAGTATTCAGCTTCCTTTGTTAAAGACCCAGTGTGCACCATTATGATTTAGGGGCCGCGAGGGCCGGGAGGCAACCATTTTCAGTTCACCGAAAAGTCTATAAATTGTACCTGGGTGATTTGTGAAAATGCGACTAGCCAATCAGCGCAAAGCTAACAAGCTTATGTTGTAAACATAACCCTCCGACGGGAGGAATTTGCAAAGTAAAACTCGACCCAGTGGAGTAGGCTGCCTGTCATTTTATTCTATCCGAAAAATCGAAGCTAAAACGCAAAGAGAAACTGAAAATCTTTATGAAATAGCTTTAAATGTCAATCAAATATTTATCGTTATCGAAATAGAATTTTATTTTAAAAATGAAATAACAAATAACTTTTTCTTTAATACCACGAGACTCCCCTCCCTGATAGAGATAATTGTTCTGTGTTCTACGCGGGTTCTCCATTGCATGCGAAGCAATGATCTCACCGACTTCACGAAGACTTCAGAAGGTCGTTGAAGCGCCGTTCAAGTCCAAAGTATCTTAGGAGGAACCATTGTAAATCCTTTTTTCTTAGCTCTTGTTTCCTCTAAGCTTTGAGGTACTATCTACAACATCACTGAAAGAGCTAGAGCAGCTTATTTACGTTTTCCAATAGAGTTATAAAGCGTTTGTTATTTTTGGTACAAACAACTGTCCTAAGTTCGACTAAATTCTCTTCTGAAAAACACGTGTGAAAATGTTTTATATGAGCATTCAATTCTGTCAATTCTTAAAGGATTAATTCTATAATCATTTTGTTTAGTTATGTAAATAAATTTAAGACGACTTGTACTGTTTGTCTGAGTGAAAGGCGAGCTGCGGGTTTTCCCTTGCACGGGCTCACTGGCTTACAACCTTGGCGAATTCATATGCAGGCCTGGTCGTAAATCAATCACCCAGACTGTGTGTTTCAAATCTTTGAGCATCTCACTTTTCTAAGCACTTTATACGCTAATATGAGTTTTCAACCATCTGAAATTCGTTTTATGGTAATATTTGGATACTAGAAGTAAACATGCGCGCAAAGCATAATGGTGCAAACTGGGCCTTTAATGACACAGAAAGGGATCGGAGGTTGACCAGACCACACATATAACAACAAGTGGTTCAAAAACACCCAGCCTGATTTATGGCGTTTTAATAGGCGATGTGCATTATTGCGTCATTTACTACAACTATACCAGAATGCTTTGCCAGCTTTCTTTTGTAATGCAATCAGTGCCAATTTTTTTTATTAATCTCCAAGGGGATTAAAAATCTGAATAACAATGAAAATGCGCAAGGCTCTCTGGTAGTTGTATTAAAGTTACGTCATAATGCAACGGCCTATCAGATACCATATTAAAACAACACAATCAGCCTGAACTCCAAAAATGGGTGATCTTATATGCCGGATCTTACTGTACACCAGCCGGCCCGAGAACACCTTTCTCGTGCGTACGCCTATTGATAGTCGTGTTATGACGTCAATCATGTTATGACGCCACCTTTCACAGACCCAATCGAATGCCGTCTAGAAGACGGTGACGATGGTGTCGGATTGGAAAGCATGCCACTTTTCGATGTGTAGACGTTCCAATTTGTATATGCGGTCATATTGCGCTTGCGGGGGGGTGGGGTCGGGTATATGATGTTCTCTGCTGAAAGTCTTCTGTGTTTCAGAGTTACAAAGTGATGTCTTCTCCTCGAGTGCGGCGACGTGTGGACGAATGCTCGGGTTTTAGCTTTTTCCGGAAAAATACGAGTCTGTTTCCCTTCCTCGTTTGTAACAATCAATTCTGGCAGAGCAAACGTTGACTTGATTAACGGACTTCCTTTTTTATGGCTTCTTAAACTCGCAATACTATGAGGTAATCCAGTCCGCGACGAGCGCATTGTAACACGTGACCCTAGCGTAGACGAGCGCATAGAAACACTTGAACCAAGAGATGACCGGCTCATTTGTCGTTGGGCGCGTTTACGAGTTCTCGTTGAAAACTTGCCGCTGACAGCAATACATACAATGGTGATGATAACAAGTACAGTTATGACTACACCAGCTATAATGAGAGGGACTGGAACTAATTTACCTACAAAATAGATGCACATGTTTGGATTGAGCTACGTTAGATTTCAAATACTCCAGTTTCTAATTCATAGCGAAAAACCGCAGCTTTATTTGACAACAGATTCTCTTGCGCAAAGACCTAACCAAACACAATAGAGAGCACGAGAAATGTCGTTATCACAATAGCCTTCTGTGAATAGCCTCAACTCGGGGAAAATGTAAATTGTTAGCGTTATTTGTGTTTGGTAATTCTTTACGTAAAAGAGTCTGCTGTCAAATAAAACAGCGGTTATTCGCTTTTAATTCTCGAAAATGGAGTATTAAGTTTGATTCATGATCATTTGGCTACAGGTCACAAGTTCTGGTAAGTTTGAGTGAAGCGAGGAATTTGACTTAATTCCTGATTGAGCTCAGGAGTCTTCTCATTCGTGGGCATTCTCACCTGTATCAGAATCTTTAGCCGGTGCGTTTAATATCTTATAGTTCGCTATAAATCCTCCTCGTTCAATGAAACGATTTGAATGGAAAACCAAAGTTAAAAAGCTCTTTGATGATTTAGCAGTAAATTCACTTAGAGTTCCACAGTAATCACCAATGACAGCGCCAGATAATTCCAAGCCATCAATCACACGCACGTAATCCAGCGAACAACCGCTGATAGGCGACGAGGGCTCAAGATCGAATAGCGTAAAAGTTAGTTGAACAATTTTTCCATAGTTTGCACTTATTACCCATTTACAATCCATATTTGCTGGGTATTTAGTAATTGACGAGTAATCAGGGCTGTAGATCGTTCCTTTTGTGTCATTTATATAGATATTTTTGTTAATATGTATWGGGTTGATTTTTGAGCACCGTGGAATCCCTGAAGAAAAAATAATGTCAGTACAGCAACTACTAATATGAAAGAGCCATAGTCTATACTAAATTTACAGTTACAAAGAGATCGAGTCGTACAGTAACAGATAGAGTAGAGCTGCAGTTACAGTTAGAGTTACAGTTAGCTAGAGTTAGAGTTCGGAGTAAGTATAGAGTATGTGTTCAAGAGAATGAACGAAAATTAAAGCAAATAACTTATTTGATTGTCAAAGTTGCATTTATAGTGTAAGTAATGAGATAAAAAGAAATAGTATAATTGGGTAAATAGAACTGATAGGAAATTAAACAGGATAAGAACAGAACAATCAGATTAGTCAAATTGAAAACTAACAAATCGAAATCTAGATAGAAATTTGACTTCTTCTAGTACCTCATTCTCCCCCCCCCCCCCCCCCCTCCTCTCTCCCCTCTCCAAGGAGAAGGTCTGCCCCCTCCCCTCTCCCCTCTCAAAGAGAAGGAGTGAAAGGATTATCATCTTTCATCTTTCCAACCTACATGTCTTCAAGACATTCATTAGGAATAATAAGTTCCTAATAATTTTAATTAAAAGTTCATTGAAATTTGCACTGTCATGGATGGTAGGTCCGAGGTCATGTTGAATGTCAAAATCCGTTTCTACCCTCGCATTCAACATGGCCGCGCCATAACGAGATCATGCAGGTGCAAAAAGTCATAACGGCTTACCGGCACTGTATGTTGACCAGATAAGGCAGGAAATATGAACTAAAACGATTAAATTAACTATGGTTAAGCATTTCACATGAAAAGAAACAAAAACAACACAAAAGCAAAGCCAAAACAAAAATAGGCAAAGCAAACACACAAAGACATATGGGGTTTAGGAGTCTCTCAGTTATCTCTGCTTTCGTTTTGAAAGACAATTGGTTGCCAACAATAATTCAATTTTAAGAAACAGTGGTTGTAACTGGAGCGGTATTCAATATGAAAAAGGGTCAGAGTAATGCAGCTAAACCACCGTTAATACTTTGGTTAATCCAAGTAAACCAGGAGATTAAGACAAGAAGTCAAAACGCATTATCAACTCAAGAACCTTTCGTCCGTATTAGTACTCAACTATATTAATGTTTTCCTTGGCGTTGAATTCGGAGTCACGCTTTTGTAAAGGTGTTAATGTTTCGTCTGTCTTTGAGAAGATTATTGTTTTGAATTGACATCTAAATCTTAACAATAAAGCCTTAAAAGCTGGCGAGCACCAAAAACAACCTTTAAATAACTCAACAATGTCTTCGATATATTCGATAGGCAATAGGACAAGCCCAAGTTTTGATCTGGTTCTGTTAACTCTTACTTTAACTCCAAAATGACTTTTAGAGTACCTTGCAGCATTGATAACGGTATCATTTCGCATAACGCACGGATGACTTATTTATTAGTTTATAAAATGAATAACAAATAACCCAATAAATACCACTACAGACCTTGCTGTTTTTCACGGAATGTTTCGTGAGTATTGAAAGATGAATGCTTGTCAGATAAAACTTACCTAATAGTACAAAATGACCATAATTTGCGAGCATGRCTCTTCATTCCAGATTACCTCATTACCAATCTCGTGAACTCATTAATTCTGTCATTACGTGGTTACCATGGTGATGTATTCCCTTGAGCATAGTGACCACGTCTGCGTGGTGTACTTCTACCTAGTCCCCCAACACACACACACACCCAGGCCAGTACTTTATGTAGGTCTCCATGAATTGTCTCTTAATGGTATATTACTGTATTAGGGTTAGGCTTATGTTTAGGGTATTATATCGGGTTTGCTCTTACATAAAGTACTACCCTACACACAAACATCGGTTGGTGCATCTTGTAGTGGATCAGTACTCAGATTTTTCTTTTTATCGTATTAGACAATCTGGTAGAACGATGTCATTTCTAAAAAATGCATCCACTCCGGCCATGATGAAACATTCTTCTTGGCAGTCTTTGTTTGCGCATTTTTATGGTACCAAAATATGAGATAAATACACGAATTTCAAAAATGGCGGTACCGTAAATGATTTAATAAGGGGCGTTTATTAAATTTCAATGGTCCAAGGGGGAGCTGGGCGTTCAATAGACAGGAGGCGTTTATTAGAGAGAGGCGTTTATGATTTATAACTTCTACCTGAAAGAAAAAGGGAAGTAGTCCTTGTTGTTCCTTGGCGCTACACTGCTGGGACAAAAAGGCGTTTAATAGACAGGGGGCGTTTGTTAGAGAGGGGCGTTTAATACAAACTTGTAAGCATAGGGAGGACGTTCATTAGATAAGAGGCGTTCAATAGAAAGGGGGCGTTTATTAGATCATTTACGTTAGTTCACGACCGCCAATTTCAAGAGACTAGTGACGAATCACGGAAGCTGGATCTCAAATGTCTTGCATCTAAAAATCACTACGAAGATCGCATTTAGGTAGTGTCCAAAAGTTTGAAAGATGTATTGGTATGTTATTTATCACAAAACACGCTTGCAAGACATCATCGAAGTTTATTATACGGAGACTGGTCTTTGAGACCTCGTTACGGTGCTTCGTTCACAATGCCATGGTCGGCGACCTTGACTTTATATTGTGCCATTTTTGAAAGTCGTGAATACATTAAGATTTTATCCTTTGTTAGATGAATATGAGACCAATGACATATTTACGATGACAAAGAGATAGTTGTTTAATAGTGATTCAAAGCACCTCAGTTATCTTCTGCTGGCAAATCCATCACTACCCGTCATTGAACAAGTAGACCATGCACATCTTCACACAGGTAGCCAAAACTGTGAAAGACTTCAGGTAGAAAATGTCGACCTTATGCCTCGGGCCTCTTCCAGCCCGAGTAATCATCTCATGCAGAAATGCAGGAATCATTTGAACAGGGGGAAGTAATACAAGGGGGTTACACAAAGATCAGCATCAACGGAGGGAACGGGGGGGGGCGTCATTACTCAATTAAAAGATAATGTCTGATGGTGTAGAATGCCACTGTCAGTGTCACAGATAGTGTGATTTGATTTTATCAAGTAATTTCACCTTTATTTCATCATTATCAAACGAACCCTGTTTTAATTTCACTTGCAAATTTTTAGTCTCTTTCATCAGACTTGCTTTCAGGTTCGTTTATCGGCAATTTTTACTCAAAAAATTTGTAAATATTTGTTTACTTTTGAATTCATTCAACATTGCACTTTACCTTCTATTTAATTAATTCCTGCATTTTCATTACATGAGGCTTTTTCACGAAGGCTGTAAAAGGTTTAACTTGGTTTTTGCGCCTACATTCGAAGAGGTTCTTCACAGATTCACGAAAACTTGAACTTGTTATTGAATACAAAATAGGATTTACCGTAGAGTGAACACAGAGTATTTGAATGCTAACAGGATGGACGACAACATATTGACTGTTCTGTTGAAATAAATCCATAGCGCGACGAATTGGCAAATGGAGCCAGCAGATCGTAAATAGCAACGTTATCAATACCATTAAGATGGTTAATCTTTGTCGAGATTTCATTAACGTTCTACTGGTGCCGCGTTCATCATCCTTCCTTTTCACACTCCACAGAAATTGTATCGTTTGAAAATACATGGCACAGATTACAACATAAGGCACAATTATTATGACAATACCCAATGCGATGTGATACAATTGTACTTTGTAGAAATATTCTTGGCCCAGTGTACATGTTCTAGATGAAGTGCCACTTTGGGTTACAAAAGGTACTATTGGTACTGTTAATGTAATACTTAGAATCCAAGCCGCAGTAACGACAACTCTAGATACGGTAGATGTCCAGATAGTCATGACTTTGATTGGTTTAACTATAACACCGTATCTCTCCACGGACATTATCGTCAAGATGAAGACGGAAACGCAGCTTGTTTGATAAGTTAGAAGAACCTCTAGCTTGCAAAACAAACTCGCTCGTTTTTCGTCATTAGGTTTTAAAGTTTGGCTCAAAATGGTAAGAATGAGCTGTCCAACACCGAAAAGCAGATCCGCTACAGCGAGATTGACCAGTAAAAGGAAGCTTTTCTTGGATATTTTACGCTTTTTGTACACTATCAAAACGAGTGAGTTTCCAATGATGTTGAATGGCAACACCAAAACAGACACCCAGAAAAACTGAGACATTGTTCATCTTTTATGATTTCCTGCTCTATCTCACTTTCAAAGCATGAATTTTTTTTCTGTTTTGATTGAGATTTTGAGATATTTTCAATTAATGAATGATGTCAGTGATTGGAGAAACAAAAGCTTTTATCTGATGGTATCTGGTGTTTAGATAGCTGATACAAAAGACTTCAAGCGCGATTGACATTGCTATTATTACCTCACAAAACACTCAATATCATTAACACTGAATGATCGCACTCCTACACAATAAATGGACTCTAATGTGGTCGCGTTAAGCCCCTATTGAGCCATCYAAGCATTTCAAAATCTCGATTTAAAATCTTGATTAATTGGAAAAAAGTGCATGAAAAATGTACATGAAATCAAGTATTACCAAATGCTGCTTTCAAAATGCTATCCAATTAGCATGTATATTGTTTTCTAGAAGCTTCTAATTTTTTTTTATATATTCATGTGAAATACGAACTAGATACTAGTCTCGACTATTCTTGTGATATTTTCTTTAATATTCTTCACGATTTTTATTAAACCAATCAGAAAAATACATGAGTTAGCAGCCCAATCCTAACCTCGTTCCCAGGGCCTAATCGGTCGACTAATATTCAAGATGGCGGTCGTCGAAGAGATCGCCGAGTGTACACAAACATAGCTTACGTTTTCGCCGGGGGATAAACAAACACAGCTATTATGAAAAGGGCTGTAAAAAGCGCCGTTTTATTAGCCAATCAGATAAAGGCTTAGTTCAGCCAATAACAGTGTGATCTCCTCGAACGCCATCTTTATCGTGATAGCATTGTATAGAAAATATATAATTCCAAAACAACCCGTTTGTACATAAATTTTCTTTGCTTTTGTACGCTTTTTAATATTTTTTTTACTCTTAAAAGAGTATTCATTATGAAGTCATCCTATATTTAGCTGGACTGAAAATTAAATCCTTTTAGTAGTTTTTGTTCTTGTATTTCTTCAGTTTCATTCATGAATTGAGTGCCATATTATATTAATGCAATGACTTGCGATTACAACTGATGAAAAACGCTGTACTCAAATGGCGAAATAGGTTATAACTTAGATTATGAGACTCATATGTGAATACCCCATGGATCAAATAAATATACAATTATAAAATATTTTCAAAGTTCATCCACAGTGTTTCTACTCCTATGAGGAGGTTTTTTTTGGTCGACATAGATTTACAACTATTTATCAAAAAAACGTTTTACAATAGTCATCACTACCTCGCATCTTCACGTGACGGTTTGCTCATCGTCTGCTTTGAACGAATGATTCCGTTGTGAATAGACTTCGTCTGTTTGTATGTACCATGGACTCGTTGGTGATTTATCATCGTTAAGATTGAAACTCTTGCGTTTACAGCAATCTACCCTTTCTGAGAACCTAGAGAAATAACCTGCACTTTCGTTTGTAGATGTAGAAGATGTACAAGAAGCAGCTTGTTCATTTTGCGCGTTATTTTCGATGTCGTTTGAGTCCTCCTCACTGGTTTTTTCTTTGATTGTGTAGTCTTCCAAAATGCCGTGTGTGATACCATGCTCTATACGATCGGCACCTACCGCTTCGTCCTCTGGCGATACTCGCAAGGGTAGTATTCTATTGACAAACATAAGCTCTAGCAAAGTTATAGTGATAGTCCAAGCTGAAATACTGACAACGGCAAGTAACTGGACCCCAAGAAATGATACGGGGCCACCTTTGAAGATACCTGAGTGATGGGAAAATTTCATTTCGAGTTTATCTTCCTGAAAGCAAAGAAATAATTATTACTATTTATCATTAAGCTGCAATTAATTGCAATTAACTGCTGTGCTGTGCTGTGCTGTGCTGTGCTGTGCTGTGCTGTGCTGTGCTGTGCTGTGCTGTGCTGTGCTGTGCTGTGCTGTGCTGTGCTGTGCTGTGCTGTGCTGTGCTGATTCACATTATAACCATGATATACCTCAGCAAATAGTGAGACAGCAACCAGACCCCAAATTCCCGCAAAGGCATGAACAGGGACACATCCCACCGGATCATCGATCTTTAATTTTCGCAGTATTTGGCAGCCAGCACAGGATATTAAAGCACCTATAAGACTTATAACTAGTGCCTCCCATGGACGGGCTATGGAACATATTGCTGAAAAGACATATAATATGAATATTGAATAACTCGATAACTCTAATGTAAAGCTCCTTCAACTGAATCACAATCGTGCCAGCCCAAACGTGTTGGTTTTGCCATATACCTGTTATGCTGACAAGTCCGCCAAGGATTCCGGTAATGAATACTGGGATATCCAACTTGCCTTTGTAAAATACGTAACTGTACAAACAATAAAACAAAAATAATCTAATAATTAAGTCGCCAGGGATCGTTCTCAGTTTCCCAACGGAAAATCCGAGGCTCAGGTTGGAGACGATACGATGTATGGAAATTTTTGAGCTATTACTCCAATAAGGGCTGTCCATTTAATCAGGTGATCGATCTTGTAAATCTGATTTTCACACTGATTAAATGTATCAACCTATGGGTAACACATTTTTGAAATAAAGTGTGGATAAACTCTATTTTGAAACAAAGTTTCTTTTGTATTAATCCAATCATAAGCACTCAAAACAATAGCCAAAAGATGATTCTAATTTGCTATGTTCCCCACGTAGAATTGCCTTAGTATTGAAGCCAAAGAAAGCTTTCATGAAAGTGAAAACAGACATCAAATAAAATATTAAAAATTGCGCTAACTTGTAAAATTATAGCAGATTTTCATGTTTTAACCAATGGGATGGATGGATTATACAATGCACAATTAGCACCTTCCTGCATTCCTTTGCCGTTTGCTTACTCGGGGCATTACTTAATGTATAATCCGCTGACTGCGAATTCCATATAAGGTATCGTACCTGTAGAACATTCCCATGATCCCTCCTCCAATAGAACCATTAATCGTCACAACAGCAGACCTGATGAATAAATTATGGTTAGTTACATTGATTGCGTGTCGAATCTAGTCAGCGGTATTTGTTAAGAAAGAAATGTTAAAATAAAGATTGAAAAAGATACCAAAACTTTGTAAAGAGACTTATTTTTGGTTACATAGTACAATCTTAAACCTATTATTTCAACAATATTAAAAGCCATGGTTCTTACAGACAAAAAAAGGTGGTTAAAAAGATCATTTCCTTTAATTTAGACGTTAATTACCCCACATGACAGCTTGAATAGCTATAATGCATTTTTGGCGGCATCCTGTCATATGGATTGTTTTATAAATGTTTAGTCCTGACGTGATGGACGATACGTCCCACTAACATTTTTCTATTTGTTTACTGTGTAAACATTTCGTTTTTTTGTGTTCCGCATGCTGCTTCGTTTGATAAAAAATGCTTTGCTTCTTGGTTAATTGATTTTTGACTTCTTGGATGTGGGCTTTTTATATACAAAAATTCTTCATGCTAAGCCAATGCTGCTTGTGTAGGTTGGTGTTTGTAGGTGAGAGTGAACTTGAAACAGGTCATGGGAGGAATTATCTCCGCCTTGCGGGACAAAACAATACAATCTATCCCCAAAATAAGAGCAAAAACATTGTGTTTGATGAAGATGCTTTGGCCTCACATGCAATATCATAATGATGATAATCTTCGATTCATATAACATGCTGATTTTAAACTAAAAAATGAACCATTTCATACCTTGAAGCAAGCTTCCACTTCTGACCACTAATTCCAAAAGTGCTTCCACAGTTGAACCCAAGCCATCCCCACCACAGCATGAACGTCCCAAGTAAAACATTAGTAGGGGATGCCATCTGAGCGGGAGGCGATTTTGGATCAAAAACGTTAGCACGTGGTTTAAGGTACAAAGTAGCAACAAGACCACTCATGCCTCCTACTAAATGAACAGCTGCACAGCCTGCTATATCAACAGCTCCTAATTTTCGCAACCATCCATGATCGTCCCATATCCAATGAGCAGGAAAACAGTATGTGACTGTATTCAAAAAGGAAAATAATGTATATGCTTTAAGATTTGCTCGTTCTGCCATGGCTCCTGACACTATTGTTGTCGCCGTAGTTGAGAATGATAACTGAAAAAAATATCTTGCATATACACCTCCCATCTCATGTTCATCGACGTCAGTAAGAAAGTGTCCAAGACCGCAGAAAGGAGTGTTCCTACCCTCTTTACCAAAACTCAAAGCAAAACCAAACAGCCAGTATGATAGTCCTCCGTAGATTACATCTATAGCATTCTTAACCATGATATTTGCTTCATTTTTACTGGACACCATTCCAGATTCCAAAAGTCCGAATCCAGATTGCATTGTGAAGATGATAAATGCGCTAGTAAGGATCCATGTTGCATCGTCTGGACCAATGCTACCATTTGCTTCTGTTGTTTGAGACACTGTAGAATTAGTGATATTTGTAGACGAAGAAGCCATGACAAGGAGATTGCTTGAACTCACTGTTCTGTTCTGCAATGAAAGTTATCAATAAGATGTTACAAGCTTCCAAGAGCGAATTACTCTTATTCTTGTGCCCTCCAGTGATTTTGGTGAATGGAATAAATGTACGGAGAAATAATTAATGTGCCTAATTTCAGGTTCTGGCTAGCTAAGCTCCTGATTGTAAACACGTCCTTTGTTCCGAAATCAAATACAAATTAATGTAAGTCAATTCTTCATTTTCTGCTTATATTTTGTCATGTTACTTTGAACTTGGCGCATATTATATGACATTCATGAAAACTTCTAGATCATCCGGTCAGGTATAAAAACCGCACGCGCTCACAGTTTAGTTTTCATTACAATGGCGGGAAAAAGACTTGGGAGGAGTCACGCATTTAATACTGACATATTTGAAAGAACTTAACGCAATGTACTCATATATCTGAAATATTATGACCAATAATGGCCAACCAAGAAATTCCACGTTTAGCAGAATGAGTTCATTGTACTTGAAAGATTGATTGCACTCTAGTAGCACCCCATAGCGTAAGCCGATATTGATGTAAACAAACTGCACGAAATGACTTTTTTCTCATTTCTTTTATCAGGGAACCTTTCGTGATTTCGCCTACATACTTAAAATTGCAAAATAATGAGTTATAATTTCATAATGTGTGGATTTTTTGGTGTTTTTTAAAGATCCATGAAGCGTCCAGCTGAGGTAAAGGAGTAGTTTGTAAAACCTACTTGTATGAAATGGCTCGTTAATCTGGGTTTTATGCACTCAAATGTTCAAATTAATTCGTGAACTAATCAATTTCCTGTATAGCATGATCCTCAAACCTGCTTCATGCATTAAAACACTCCAGTATTTTAATTCTCGTCCTTATCGCATTTAAAAAGATGTGAAATTCGTTGTTTGAACGCGGTGTGGTCCTATTTTGACATATTGTAGTAATATTAAAATTAAAGTAGTCAGTTTGTTAAAAGTAATATGACAGCGGGAAGAAAACTCACAATTACATGACAATCTGCAATTAAATATGAGCATATCTTAAGCAAAATACACCAAGAATTTGTAAAATAAACCATTTGAATAGATAGGCTTTGCTCGTGTATTTAGAATTGATTGTAAGGTTGGTCGAGCTTCGCCCTCCCGCAAAATTCAGTTTAGATTTTCTCGGTTTCTTTTAGGTAGACAATGATGCAATTACAATACGAAAACCAAACTCAACATTGTGATTCGAACCGGAATTAGATAAAAATATTTGGCACTTTTCCACTATGCAAAATAGCAATGCAATTGTACGGACTCATTGTGAATTGAATCAGCTGTAGATTGAAATTCTCTGAAAATATCTCTCCAGTGTGATTATAAAGTGATTACAGTTTAAAACGAGTTTGCGAATAAATATTATAAAGAAAATTAAAACTTAGTTTTTATCATTCGCCATGGTATTAAACATGTTAAACTTACCCCTTCTTTCGTCAGCCGTTTGAAATAGTTCGGGCAGCTTCACGATGAAACTGGAAATGGCTGCAGAGAATCAGAAGAAAAATGCCAACAATTCAGTTCACTAAGCACACATTCGAGAATACAACAATAACCGTCATTTCGATTTTACAAAATAGCGGCGATGTTTCTTCCGGGTTCAATTTTGAACTGAATAACATAGAATTATCATGGTTAGACGAGAGCCAAAGGGATGAGCGGAAATCCTCAAACGTTTTCACATGAATTGAGGTTAGTGGAAATTTTATCTCTCATAAGTTGAGCACAGGTGTTTTCTCGATTGTACTGCTACAATAATTTACAATTCAATTTTGCTCTAATCCTACTGGAAATGTTTTAACAGCTAAACGTTGATTTGAACTGTGTAAAAATAAACAAAACCTTGTGAATTCACCGAAAACTTACAGCAGTACTCATTGTAACGTTATATCCCCGTACAGTAGCACCGACAGCTGCATATTATGAATTGCTGATATAATAGCTTTAAAAAACTTCTCCGTTTTCATTTATCTTTACTCAATTGAAGGCAGAAGCAAGATTAAAACGCCCGGTATATAAATACAGTGCAGACAGAACTTTATCAACAAAAAAACTGAGAAATAAGTACCTGACAAAATATCGAACTTGACAATTTCTTATACTTGTCCAGTGAAAATGATGGTTGGATTTGAGATATAGAATATTTTACTCATTGAGACCTGAATTTTCTTTTTCTTGTATTATATTTTCTATTACATATCGTACAAAATAGATCAAAATACCCCGGCAAAATACACATTGTCAAAACAATTTTGCCATTGATATCGATTATAATTCAAAAACTTCCTAACACAAGGGGACTACCAGATATCTCAATAACTGGAAATTAAAAGTTATTTCTTTACTGCAGGCGATTATTAACTAGAAACAACAATATTCAAAATACAGCAGCCTCCGTTGCCAAAATAAATATTTTGTTAAAAGATTCTTCCTACGATATATCGTGATAGAAAAGTGATTTAACATACCTTTTTCTTGCTAGATCAACTGAATTGCCAGGAGATATAATGCAATAAGTGTGATTCTCTATCAGATAAAGCATGTAATTAAAATAAAGATTTTCCAACAGATGACGTAATAGTCTTCCAGTATTCGTATATGCCACCTGCGTGGAAGAGAATTAATACCATGAAGGCGTCTACAAGGGTTAGCACTCATGCATATTTTTTGAACTGCTATAATTGTGACTTATATTACGAAATATAATTAAAAAAAATGCATAAAATCAGTATATAAAAATTCAAATATCATTTTACAAATAATAATTGAAAAGGTTTCAATTTAAATGAGAAGTGATGATGTGTCTGGCCTAAGACTCGTGTTACCGTTTGCAAATAGTTTTAAAGTGATCATAAATGACTCTTCCGTTGTGAGAAAGGGAACAATATGAACAAGCCAACCATGACCAACGACTAACCAACCAACCAACCAATCAATCAACAAAACAACCAACAACTAAACAACTAACCAACAACCAATCAATGAACAGTTAAACAACCAACCAACCCGAGCAACCAATCAACCAACCACCCAAACGACTAACCCACCAAACAACTAGCCATCCAATTACCAAGCAACCGAGCAAGCAACCGACTAATCAACCAACAAACCAATCGACTGACCGAACGTCCGACCTACCGTCCGCCAAACCGAACAACCAACCAACCAACCAATCAATCGATTGATCAGAATGATTGACTGATCGGCCCGGGGGGGGGGAACTCCCTAATATCAAATGACCCCTAAAAGGGACCTCTATTGTGAGATGATGTGCGTGGCAGTGCTGAAATTTCAATCCTAAAAGGGACCAATCAATAACAGGTCATTTTGTTTTGGTTTACCGATTTTATTTGTGTTTTTACACAATCATCGAACACCGTCGGCTCGTATTGAGTTTATGNCCAACCAACCAACCAACCAACCAACCAACCAACCAACCAACCAACCAACCAACCAACCAACCAACCAACCAACCAACCAACCGACCAACCAACCGACCAACCAACTGAATAAATTAGCAAAATAGCAAGTATATTTATGAATAATTTGTCATTCATTTGTAGGTCGATTTAAGGCTAATAGAATATTTCATCAAGTGAAACTTGACAACCTGCATCACTGTATCACCACCCGTAATGTCCGGTTTCCAATTATTTCCAGTTTGTCTAGTCTGTCACAAAATAACTGGTGGTTTAAGATAGAAGATTTAAGATAGCTACAGGTGATTGACAAAATCGAATCAATTATCTATCGAATTGTTTGAGCTTAACACCCGCGAAGGATTGACAACTCCAGATGAAATCTTAAAACTTGATTGGCGAGTGCTTAGGGGACACTGTTTCTATCATTTCTGTTTAAACAATAATAAAGTGAGTAGTTTTAAACACCACGTTTGCAGTGTGAAAAAAATAGTTAGATATTAATCTATATAGTTTTAAGAACTGATGACATTTCTATATACTTTATAGTTGCGCGTGCTCAATCATCCAAACTTCACTTTATTTCTTGGAACAAAGTTCCAAAAATTGTTCGTTTATAGAATATTTGGTTCTTTTTTATTTTTCAAAGCAATGTTATATTTTTTTATATATTTTTCGTTTAATTTTAAGTTATTTTGAGTTGGTTTCTGATAACGATCGAGAGTAATCGCGAAACCCACACGTTGCTACTCGTTGCTACAAACGTCAAATTACACGTGCCGAGCTCAATAATTAAGATATAATCGACGGAGTATAAAAAAATATTTCAGTCATTGATATAGAATTCGTCAAGTGTAACGGATGTCGGCCGTTTGAAGCAGACTTTGCCTTAATCACTTCATGAATAATTTAACTTTTATGCAGAATAAAACTGACTTCACGCAAGGTGTATTTGCCTCTTTTGAATGGAACCGAAGAAAAAAGTCAATATTTGAATTGGCTTTAGTTTTTAATATGTTTAATTTTAGTTATTATTTCCAACGAATGTCACGAAAGATCAGCTGCTCGTTTTCACATGAAAATTCAAGAAAATTGTATTTTTTTTCTGTAGTGTAATTAAAGAATATTTATATACCATCTTTTTATGACTTTTTTTCGAATTTAGAAGACGTATTTTCAAGTCTGTTGCCTGAGCAGAGAAATATACAAACAAAAGAGAAAAAGAAATGAAGAAAGGAAGGAAAAAAACTAGAAAGAAACAGACATATCTATTTATTCTCACCATTCGATTGGGTTTGAATTTGTAATAATAGAGTGGCTACACTTATTCCATTCCAGTTGTTATCATAATTGTTATTAAGATAGTAGTACTGATGGGCGAAGATATCATCTGAAAGAGCTGATAAAACGAGGCATGGCCGAGGTTTTTTGGCGGGGGAAGGGAGGGGGGCCGTCGTGTCGAGGAGTTTTGATTCTCTTATCAAACGAGAGGGTTAATTTCATGCACGTTTTTAGCCAAATAAACTCTCAAAACAATCTATCATTTCCAACATACTCCACTTCATTTTCTATATTCAACTCCACTTGATATAGATCACACTAGGTCAGCTCTCAAAGACGGAAGTCTTTTCAAATGCGATGATATGTATTTGTAGGTCTTGTAGACTCTGGAGAGATCGACAAAAGTCACGCATCATGACTTGGAAGATTTGAACATAAACATCAGCATGTTTATATAATGTGTTTTTGCTTTCATTAAGATTTTTAAATTGATGTGACTTCCGATTCAATAAAATTTGTCTTAATTTTCTTTTGTTTTGATTCCTTCACCTCGTATCCTTTGATTCATCAAGTGGAAAATCGTGAGACCAAAACCGGTCACTGATCAGTAATCATTAATTCAAACTATACGACTTATTCAGAGCCAAAAAAAAAAAAAAAATCCTCAATGACACTAAAAATGCGTATTTGGCAATCTTAATCTTGAGCAATATTAAGTGATTTTTTTCGAGATTTAAAAAAGTTTCGGRAACTATCTATAAAAGGGGGGATTTTAAGCGTAGACTGAGGGCGCTTTTTCTGAAGCAACCGAGAACAGCAAATGCAGCAAGGCCTAATATAATTTTCAAGAGATTCACGCGATAAACTATTTCAAAATATCATATATTGCGGAGGAATATATAGAAAAATATATACTTTTGAAAAATCTAAATAAATCAACAAACCTTGAGCAAAGAACTTGAAGTCGAGATCCGAGATACTCCATTTCACAAACTGTCAAGGTCCGTCAAAATCTCAAGTGCGAGGAAACGCTCCGATCCTTGATATCTTGTTCATTAAGATTGATGAAAACACTACAAAACCTGATCCGTTGAACAGCGAAAGTTAGAGCACTAGAAATGATATGCAACTGGCATAAACAACCTTTATGCGCGAGAGAGCATATTACCGATTCTTCTTGAAAAGATTGATGAGATCTCTAAAACGTGCGAGCGTCAGTGATCTTTTCAGTTCAATATTCTGAATGGTGCTTTAATTGGCGATATAGTTTATGTAAACAATTTAACGTAATGTGCATCCGTGTGTTATGTTATTTATAGCGTGGTTGAATAACATTGTGCAATTTGATTGGCTTAGAGGAGTGGTATTTATCCTTAATAGTGGTATTTCAAATTGCACAATTATTTTCAACCATTTTATAAACAAATAATAGCATTCTTTGTACGTGGAATTTGTGATAAATACCACTTGTGATATTTTAAAATTGTCACAAATTGTGAGTGTTTGTTTGACGCGACTGAAGTTTAATTCGAACTTTGCTGTGATCAGCTCTGGTTATTGTTTTAATATAGAACATATTCACTGTACCTTACCAATATTTTTGCATTGAATATAGTCATAATCGGCTGTTATGTATCACTGATGCATGTAATGTTTTAGATGGCAAGAAAGACAAACCTGTCTTAGTACGAAAACTAACATGGCGTCGACTATGACGTCACAACATGGCGTACACTGAGAAGCATCCAAATATAAATAGAGAAGACAACGATTTTCCAATGCAAAATGTCTCAGCACAAACTTATCTATAATTCATCAGGTAGGTTTGATATTTTGTTATTCTTTGTTGTTCTTTTATCCTAGCTTGATGCCAATTGAAAAAAATTGTGATAAGTTTTTTTTTATCTGAGCAGCTTGATTTCGAATTTATTTCACCGTTGTTTTCTGGTAATTAAACAATAACATTGATACCATCTGTGGTTATGGAAATTGTGTAAGAGTTTTGTTTTGCACTTTTTATGTCAAGCACACCAATTGACTGCTCTCACGATTCCTCTTGAGTTTTGAAAGTTCTGGCATCGTGTTGTGTGTCAAGACCACACGTAACATTGTTTGTGAATAAATATGGGCAAATTCTATAATAAGCTTGAAAATAACTATGAAATAACTATCATACAAAGCGTTAATTGATTGGTTGAAATGCGCTCAAAAGCAGTGTGTATCTATATAGCCATAGAAACGCGACTTTCAAGCGAAGAGTGTTTGTTATTTTTTAAACTAAGCGTTAGAAGATATTTTCCGTGTTTGCATTCTCTAAATTAGAAACACTTGGGATTGTTAGAAGATCACTTGAAATGGTTTTTAAACTTTTCTCGTGTTCTCCCAATAATCCCGCACTTTTAACTGAGATAGAAAAAGAAATGTTTTCTAATTCCGAAAACTTAGTTAAAATCAATGAAAACTGCATGTGTTGTAGCAACGGGAATAAGAAATTTCGATAATGGAGCAACCGCGCGTTCGTACAAACTAAAAACCTTGAAAACAACTAATTTGTCTTCAATTCTTTTGTACTTTTTCGTCAACCAGTTTCATTTGATGAAATTCTGGCCGCTAACCTATATGAATATATTAATAAATAGCTAAGATAGCTGATATTTAAAATAGTTACATTGGTACTTGATTTGCCATCAAACTGCAGAATATGTTTGTATTGTCCTAAAAAGCATAATTCCAACAACGTTTATCATTGATTTGCAGGTTTATTTAGTCAGGAAAAGAGAGGAAATCATTTGAAATGACTCATGATGTACAGGCTATAATGATATATGTTAGCGCCCAGAAATTTTCCAAGTCACTGCATGTGTATACAAAAACGCTCACGATACCGTTGTGCAGTTACTTTTTTTCATTACGATTTTTTTATGGATAAAATGACTGAATGATGCTATCATTATATGTCGCCAATATCGACGATGTCTGATATAAGAGTACAGCATAAAAACGTTGGACGCTATTAATCAAGATTTATTATTATTTAGAATTATTTTATTAGCCAATTAGAAATGAGTATATAGCCATCATGCATTGCTAAAATATAAACTTTATCACGCCATAACAACGCTATAAAATAACAAAACTTTGACYACGGGATATCTCAATTTCAATGATTTTTGTATAGAAGACGACTGTCATAGAAGACCAATATGGTGAAGTGTGTAGGTGCGTCCTCTAATGAATCATTAATAATAATAAATTGATACGTTATACATCATAAGGGATAGAGACTGCTTTCAGTGGCGTTGAAAAGCATATAGATACCGTAGTAGAAGATAAGACTAAAGGACCATGATCAACCAGAATCCTTTGCGAGCTTTTGTTTAATTTGTTTAAATAGAAATATATCGTAAAATAAGCAAAACATTTAAAGATTAAAATCTTTATCTCCCTCTGCCTCATGGATGTAGATGTTGTAAGACACGACGAATGAAAACAGATCGCGAATGGATATTTGAAATCAACTAGCTAATTTTGACCGACTATGTGAAATAGTCCAAGGCATTCCCGCATTGAATGCCGGATGACCGAGGCCCTGTATAAGCATGCCCATGCTTTTGTTAATGTTTTCAAGATAGTATTATATACTTCATGGTATTAATCGTCAGTCATTGTATTTTAGATAAATTTTCTAGCCTTTTTAACTGTACATGCACTGTTGAACTATTTTATACAATGAAATATTTAACTCTTTTTGAAATAGGTGTAGCTGTGCAGGAATTCATGATGCGCGTGGACTGATGCATGCTTTATCGATACCATTAAATAGCCGATATGGTAATCCTAAAAAGATCATAGTTGGCTTTTTACGAGTACAATAACAACCACAGTCCTCGTTGTCGATTAATGTACCTATTCACAAAACGACAGTACACGAGGACGGTTTTCATCAGGTGGTTCTTCGCCGTTGCGTCCCTTCAATTCAACATCGACTGAATGAGAACGAAACTTTATTCGTCTTTTCCATGAGCTGTATTTCTGTGAGCTTCTCTTAGATTTCTCCAACGTTTCATTAGATGGAAGTTGATTTATAGTGTTTTCAGTAAATAGATGTTTTTTGCTGATGTCTTCTTTATCTTCTAAGCTAATGACCTCTCCATTACTAACTTCGACCAAAGCTGGATTCTCTATACCATGAGTATCTTGTACCTCTGGCATGGAAAGGTCTTCTTCTTCGCCAATTCCATGTTCCCATTTGTCTGCGCCTTCGAGCTCCATTTCCAGCGGCATCCTTAATGGGATGATCTGATTGACAAGTAAGAGTAGGATAATAGTGATGGTAGCAGCCCACAAGCTGACAGCAACTACACCCAGAACTTGAACTCCTACCATCTTCCAGCTTCCTCCTTTAAATACGCCATAATTCTCGGATAGGTTCTCAAGGCTGTCTTTCTCCACAAATAGACCAACAGCAACCATGCCCCACACGGACGCAAAGAGGTGCGTAGGGACGCAGCCGACAGGGTCATCGATGCGAAGCTTCAGCAATAGTGTACTGCCTGTACATGAAATTAAACCTCCTATGAAACCGATGATGAGACTTTCCCAAGGACGAGCTACTGCACAGATTGCTGTGAAATAGAAATTATAATAAAATGACTGAAGTCGCTGTATCTTGCAATGGTTGATGACTTGTGCACAACGTCTATATTTTCGTTTGTCTTTTTCATTCATATTCATTCATTCAATTCCATTCGTTCATTCAATTCCATTCATTTCTTCATTTATTTCACTTTGCAAACGAAAATGCTAATTTTAATTCAACAATCAATAGTTGCCGAATCGTCTTTGCAAGCATAATGTCAGTTTTTAAGAAAATCTTGAGCATTTTCTAACCAACGAAAAAAGAGCATGTCACTGCAGACAGCTGCAAGTGTCTGCTGAAGATAAATTGAGCAGCCATGTAATTATTACAAGCAATTTAATGGCCAATTCTAAGGGCACTTTGAAATCTTGAAACTCAACGGAACGGAAACATTTGATATCCCTAACACTAATGTATGACGAATAGGCTAACATGATTGACATATGTCATTTACCTGTAATACCAACAAGTCCTCCTAGAATTCCGTTTGCAAACATGTCAATCATAATCTTTCCTTTAAACATGAACATACTAGAGCAGCAAAGACAAGAATTAGTCAATAGATAACCTCCTGGATAGTTTAATGCACATTCTATAATATCGAATCGTTTTTAGCTGAGAGCATATTTAATTTGTGAGGTTAAACAAACGCTTTCAAGGAAATATAATGTTTATAGTGCTGTAGAAGAAATAAAGGATGTACTTAGTTGTTATTGGCGCAAAACCACCTCAGTCAGCCCATCCTTCATTGCAAAATTAAGTAAAATACTGGGGTTTAGCTGATCACTAKAACGATAGGGCGCAGAGCAATACTGGCTGTAACAGACAGTTATCTTGGAAAACCGTTAAATAAGGAGCACCTAAGATTTAAGTCGCCGCGGACACTCATTAAGCCACCCTCATAGGTGTCCGTCCACAATAAAAAGTCCTAATTCTCCATTCACCCCCATTAAACCTTTATTAAGTGTCCAACCTCAACACAGAATTGAAAAAAAAAAAAATGGAAAAGGTATCGCTTAATAGAGGTATCAGAATTAGTTTTACCTGTACATCATGCCGAATATCCCACCTCCGATTGAACCATTAAGAGTAACTACAGCAGATCTATAGAACATAAAACGTAGTCATATAAGAAATAGAGGATATTACATGGACGCGCGGAGATATAGATTTTATCTTCGAGTGTTGAAAAGATCTCTCACGAGTGAGCGTAGCGAACCAGTGCATGAAATTTTCAATACGAGAAGATAAAATTCGTATCTCCAAGCGACCATGTAATATTCAGTTTATCATATAATTACATATGGAAGCAAATTATGTCGTAAAATGCCTTTTTTTCTTACTTCCAATATAGGGAGAAACCTCGAATGTGTTATTTTCACTAGTGAAAATAACATGTTATTTTCACTAGTGAAAATATCAATTTTACGAAATGGAGAAATATAGGTATTTCATAGATAATTATATGATAATAGGATTTATCAATATTGTTCAATCGATGTGACATTGATATATCTTACCTTGAAGCAAGTTTCCACTTTGCTCCTGTAATTCCAAAAGTGCTTCCACAGTTGAACCCAAGCCATCCCCACCAGAGCATGAAAGTACCGAGTAAAACATTAGTCGGCGAAGCCATCTCTAGTTTATTTGGATTTCCTTTTTCATCAAACCGTCCTGTTCTTGGCTTCAGCAATATTGTTGCCACTAGCCCACTCACCCCACCAACCAAATGAACCGGACCACACCCCGCTACATCGACCACACCCATTTGTTTTAGCCAACCATTATTGCTCCAGAACCAGTGTGCAGGGAAACAGTAAGTTAGGGTGTTCACGAAGGAGAAAATCGTATAAGCCTTCAAATTGACTCTTTCAGCCATTGCTCCGGAAACAATGGTCGTGGACGTGGTAGCAAAGGAAAGCTGCGAATCATTTAACACTTTGTAATTAATATACATAGTCTATTTCACAGATTTCAGTTTTTAACAATTATATTTTTTATATAGTAAGCGCACGAATACAATACCGCAAATATATTCATTAACCATGTTAAAAGGTCTTTAGCAACGTGTTTCAGCTCTTTCCGATATAATTAAAGATTTATTTTGCTTGCGCTTGTTGTAGAAATTGTTTTGAAACTTGCTGACATATTTTATAAACCTTGATCCTTATCCACGCACGTGAAAACTTAACCTTGTACTTTGAATTCAATTACGTAAAACTCAGTTATAATCAGTTTTGTCCATCATTGCCGCTAAGCTTACACTGTGCCCAGCATTTACCCGTGAAATATTTTGTAAGAAARTACACAGAATAGATGTWGTCTTATTTAAATATTTTATATTAGTTATATTACGTTAATTGTTTAAAATCTAATTCGCGCAACTAAGCATGAAAAATATAGATTTTAAAGAGCAAAATATAGGATTTATGGCACAGTCATTCCTGATTATGCTTTAGTGCAGTGGATGCTTGATAAATATTTAAATGGCATCGAAATAAGTAAAAGTGCAAAAGAAAAAAAATATATATATACAGAAAAGAAAAAGAAAAAGAAAACAAATTATAGAACAAAGTTACGTAACAAAGTATACTGATTTTATACTGCGCATTGATATCTATCGCTTGTTTTGTTGCTCTAGGATTTTCTGCGATAATCATACCGGTATATCATTTTTACAAGATTATCAATTTTAGAAGCTTCACACAATGTAAGCAGCATAATTGATTCTATTTCGGCTCTGCAAGCAGCTCATAATAAGACATTGGATCGCTATTTTTCATTTGTAAAGTTGACGTTTAGCAGCTGTCGTTTGGTCTCAAAAAGTTATTCCAAGCATTGATAATAAAAGCGAAAAGTACAAACTTATGTTTAATATGACTTTTTCAATAGCATATTAGAGTTATTTTCACTTTTTTTATACTAATGTAAAAAAAAATTCAGCAATTTGACGCTAATTTAWCATTATTTTTAGCGCGTTTAAATGCGATATGTTTTCTTTCTACTAAAACAGAACAAAAACAAAAACAAAAAACAAAACAGACCAACACACGAAAAATGACCAAAGAAAACAGCCAATCTGAATAAAACACATATTCAAATATTCTTGCAATCAATTGACTTACTTGAAAAAAATATCTAGCAAAAACTTCTCCCATTTGACTTTCATCTGCATCGGTCAAGAAGTACCCAATCCCACAAAAAGGATTGCTGCCTTCATCGATCCCAAAGCTAAACGCAAACCCGAACATCCAGTAAGACAAGCCTCCATAGATCACATCTACGGCGTTTTTTACCATTATATTCGACTCGTTCTTCTTTGACACCATCCCGGCCTCTAGCAATCCAAATCCAGACTGCATGGTGAATATAATGAAGGCACTGGTTAGGATCCATGTTGCATCATCGGGATAAATAACATCTTCCGCGGTATTGAGAGCACTGCTATTCTGACTGACGAGGGTTGAGTTGTTTGAGCTCATCTGGAAAGTTTACCAGGTTTGCGAGTCCAAATGTAGAGCTTCCACTAGCCTGAAACAGCAAGTGCAACTGTACTGTTTTTCAGGAAGACAATATTTGTTGTTGTTAAACGCCGCCAGTGACTGAGCAAGTTTTGCCAGCTCGCTTTGGTCTTACTTGCGTTAATCAATTGAATATGCGGTGCCTATACGACAGCTGATACGGTGTCTGTAGCGGTGAAACTTCGGCTATAGATCTGATAATATTAAAAAGCAAGTATTAGTTTTCACCTCAAAAGCAGCAAATCCGAATTGAAACTCGATGGAAAATTCGATAGAAATTAAGAAGAGGTTTTGCTCTCGTAGGATTATCATCCTGATATCTAAGATCATACATGACAGATGTATTAGTATTCAGATAAAGCGAGGCATAAAAAGATTTCTCACATCTTTTTTTTTCTAGGCGATTATATACCAGTTATTAGATACACTACAGCTTTTTATGCTGATATGTAAATTTTAAGTCTTATAGAATACCTAAATTATATAATTTTTTATTAAGTCAATTCAAATTTATCTCGTGAAATGAAACGAAGAGAGAGAATAGACTGGTATCAAGCTCTGAAAACAAGCTAAAAAAGCCTAAAACATCGCCTAAACCGCTTGATTCTATGCAAAATAAATTTTCTAAGCATCCCCAGTCAATYCTCTTTAAGCCATTAACTGAAAATTGCTTTTACTATATTCAAAATTAACAAGATGAATCGTAGCTTCGCAGTGATCGCCCTTGTACAGTGCAGGTGAATTGATAGCCYACACGAAGAGTGCTTTACATTCGACCAATCGCAACACAACAAAATATATGTATTTTTATACTGAGATAACATCTTTGAATTAACAAAAATCACCAAATTCAATACTATCATATTGAATTTATCCAAATCTCTGCTTTCAATAACAATAATGATCAAATATCAAAACGGAAAATTAGGGAACTTATGGTGTAAAACGCTTGTTAATATAATATGAAAAAATTTCGTCACGACTGAGTATAGTCAGTTTGACAGAACAGACAATTATTATTCTTGCCGCTGGTTGCTTGGTAGTTTTATATTTATAGAACTGTCAAAACACTGCCGGCCGAAGCTAAGAAGGCCAAATTTTAAGTTAAAAGTTGAGTGAATTGTTTTCATTATTCTACTTTTATATATGATATAAGTTTGAAGGTGTTTTTAAACGAGCTTCCACTCTAAACCGAAACCCTTATAATTCAAATTAATCGGGTTTCCGAGTACAATGATCTACCTGCAATATTTAAAAATACGGTATATATATAACCGTCGAAATACCATTTTGATATATGATCACAGAATTAAAAAACTTAAATGATATCATAATGTCAACCCGAGGCACAACAAGATTTCCTTAAACTAATAACAATTAAAATCTGAAGTTTGACTTACCTACCTTCCTCTTATATAAAACAAAGATTTGGCTATCTGTTCTTTATTATCAAACGATTGAGAGTCATTAGAGTTATGTCTTTCTTTCTAACTCCATCTTTTGAGCACAGTCAATTGGGAACTATGACAGCGACAACATATTAATCATAATTAAGTGTCAGGTGCATTGTGGGTAAAACGTAAATGAGTCAAATTGCATGAAATTGGCGTCGAACTCAAGAGATGGGAGAATTGCTGGTTTTGTTAATCTTTTAATGCATCCGAACTCATTATTACTTGAGAAAGGAGTTCAGTGGGGATTTCGAATATTCAATTTTTTTTTTTTTTTTTTTGAATACCGGCGTGTTCGAGTCTATTAACGTTGCTCGGTTGTCGGTAATAAGACTTAAAAAAAAAAAAACAGATTCGCTTGCTTAAAAATGTATTTAAAATTCCAGGACCTTCCAGGGATTGTATTTTCAATTGTTAAAACTTCGGAGAAAAGCAAATCAAAAGATATTGATACTGTATAATTACGTTTTGTATAATAATATATTCTTGCAAAACTGAGGTATGATAAATGCAAATGATTTTGCTGTCGTATTTATATCTTTACAAGAGCAACATTTATGCATGCAAATGACCATACTATTATAATACCGGCAGGAAAGCAAGCAGCAAAAAGAGAATTAAGAATGAGAAGAACGAGATCGAAAGAGAATGAGTGAAACTAGAATGAAATGTGAAATGTTCCCCAAGGATCTACACTTACCTGAGTTGCATCTATACCCGCAAACAAAATAAGATTTTCGTTCGTACTTATATACTGTTTATTTAGATTCTTTAATAAAACATGACATTATTGTCTAAAAATAAGCATACTGGGCTGTGCATACAATGTTAACTAAATCAACTGTGGCTGGCATATACGTGTCATTAATAATCGAATTCCCTACCAGTGCTTATCATTTTAGCGAGAAGTTTTAGCAATAAAACAATTTTATTATTTATATATTTCTTATACAATGNAAAATATGGCATTATTGTCTAAAAATAAGCATACTGGGCTGTGCATACAATGTTAACTAAATCAACTGTGGCTGGCATATACGTGTCATTAATAATCGAATTCCCTACCAGTGCTTATCATTTTAGCGAGAAGTTTTAGCAATAAAACAATTTTATTATTTATATATTTCTTATACAATGTTAACTACATCAACTGTGTCTGTCATATACGTGTCATTAATAAATGCAATGCATTACGAAAAATCTTTTCTTCTATTCCCTACCAGTGCTTATCATTTCTTCTGATTATTTTCCCAGCACAAAGTAATGAATTGAAAAATCATTATCAACAGAAACAACGAGAGAAATTAGATTGATGACTATCACAATATCAACGTGTTACATAACAATGCGGTTTATATGATTTGCGTTTTGTCATTTAATTTTCTAAAACTCAGTTGCTGAATATACTATTTAATACTGTTATTGTTGCTATACTGCACTTTAAAAATCACGTAGGAAAGTTTTGATCATTTTTTGTAATTGAACATCCTTCTTTGAAATAAATCGATCAATATATTTTCGACAATTGTCAATTAAGGCTGAATTTCATATTCCCGAAAAAGTCTTTATCACTATATAATTATCTATAAAATACTTATATTTCTCCATTACGTAGAGTTGATATTTTCACTAGTGAAAATAACACATTCGAGGTTTCTCTATATAGTGGAAGTAAGAACAAAGGTATTCGTTTTACGACATAATTTGCTTTCATTGATAATTATATGATAAACAGAAAATTACATGTTCTCTTGGAGATGCGAATTTTATCTTCTCGTGTTGAAATCTCTCACTCGTTCGCTACCCTCACTTGTGAGAGATCTTTTCAACACTAGGACATGTAATATCCTCTATATAATCTATGTTGTTTTATGATTTTATAAAAACGTTYTACTGGCATCTCTCTTTTATAGAGCTAGGATATTGCATGGGCGCGCGGAGCTACGGATTTTATCCAGTTTATCTTCGAGTGTTGAAAAGATCTCACACGAGAGTTCTCACTAGTGAAAAAATCAATTTTACGAAATGGAGAAATATAGGTATTTTATAGATAATTATATGATAAATAAATATCTCAGTTTCTTGCGAAACAATTAGAGTCACAAAATGACAGTAATTCATCGTCGAACTAAAACGTAAAAATGTGATATACACTCAATTATCTATCTTATTTATCAGTTATTTTTTTAAGTCAACGAGTCTCAAAAATTAAATTTCCCTTTTTCGTGTTTGTACAAAGTTTTTCATTGCAATAAAAGTCCATGGTCTTGGATCAATTGGGAAATAATTAACGAATGTGTAACAGTGGTTGGTCCCTATAGGGTCCTATAGGTTACGGGGATCCGTACGTGGTATAAATCAAGAGGAAAGCCTACTTTGAGTTTTCTCAAAACATCCCTAAGTGCTTTTATGTTCAGGTCACCAATAGAGCACGCGTTATAATATAATCCACTGATCGATTCGTGATTTTATGATATAGAAAACTACACTTCTCTCAAGTGGGCGCGTTCTTCTATAATATAYTTAAGAAATATAAAACGGCGCGCGTGTCTCTGTCCTCTGATATAAACACGGTGGGAGTTCGAAAAACACGAGAGAAGCAAGCTTAGGAACACGAGCTTAGCGAGTGTTTCTCTTGCTTCTCGAGTGTTTTCAACTCCCACCGTGTTTATTTCAGAGAACAGAGACACAAGCGGCCATTTTCTATTTCTTTTTTAAAATTTTTCGAGCGAAATGAAAATTTTGCTGGTAAGCCGTGTCTCTGTCCTCTGATATAAACACGGTTGTCAGCCAATCAGAGCGCGCGTTATATATCAAAAATTTTATAAATGTGTTTATGGCATGCATTGAGTTATGCAATCAGAGCGCTACCTTGTTTCCAGATATTTTCTCTTTTTTTTGATGTTTTTCTTTTTTATTTCTGTATTCTTGCTTTAACTTTTAATAATAAAGAATATATAAAAACTAAGAATAGAAGGATACATAAAAAATTCCAGAAAAGATGACAAACCTGTCGAAATGCGTACAGCAGTCTTGACCAATCAGATCGCGCGTATAAAAATGTTAAGGTAGAGGGCTTCTCTTAACCCAGAAATATTTCGTTAACCCGTGGCATAATCATTAMGTAACACACGTTACTGAAGTCTAAATTCACTGCTCGTTCTGTTTATTTTTCTTATTATCATTTTTTTTTTTTTTTCACAAGTTTTTGGCACAATTAACACTTAAACAATCCGGAAGATGCGTCCTCAGGTTTTTGAAAATTCTAATTCAATTTTCTTATGAAGTGGTTTAAAGGTCTCAAAGATGATTCTAGAAATCTGACCACTACATCAGTTTTCTTCATCAAATTGTCCTGTTCTCCCGGGTAGTCAATTGTCGTTTCTTGTGTACTTCGGTATGAAAAATTCAAATTAAAACTGAGTCTTTATTAGAATTACTGCACGTTGGGRCTATTTTGTCTTGAACTTTTCCTGCCAGCTGAGCTCTTTGAGAGTTTATCTAGTTCAGCATAGATAGTTTGTGAATAGTGCTAGCCGTAGGCTATATTCTATACTGCATAATAGGGGGGCTATTGTAGTCTTGTTCTACAGTCAATTCTCTTATCCCCCCCCCTTTTTCCGTCATCCACCGCTAAAACAATCAATTAATTATTACAGTTACTTTTCGATATTCTTATTGCATTGTTTTATGCCCCCGATAAAGCCACAAATAAAGAGCATTAAAACAGTAGAACGCGTTGTAGAATCAGCAGAAACCATCGACTAGAAACCATCGCAAAAATTGGGAGCAATACGTACCGATCTTTATCTAAAATCAGGAGACTAAAACATGACGTTCTATATTGATTAATCGATCGATCACTTAAATTGGAACCGGRRRAWYMAAAA